TCCTAAGTTATTATTTCTCTCTTTTTTTATGGATCCGCTATTTTTGTTTTCGCATGATTCTTAATGAATTTACGTTTAATACAAGCTTATTAAATGTAACAAGTAACACGCCAACTCACATCGGTATAATACGACACAGATTCCGGTTTGAGAAATTTTAACAAATTTTAGTGAAAATTATATGAATAACAGGCATTTGATCTGATCACTGTCATCTAAAAATTGCTGAAAAATCACTTGATGTGAAATTGATTTCTAAATTTCTTCTTTTAAATTTATACTGCCTATTGAATTATTGCAATCTGCATTTGTGTTTTCAAAATCAATACCACAGGATATTACAGGCCCACCTATATACACCTATTGCGTTGTCGTCTAAAACAGCAACAATCGACCTGTGACTTTCAGAAGTACATTATTTATTTTGACTCCAAGACTGTTCCTCGATCTTGGAACTTTAACTAAGCAAATAGCGTAGTACAAACAGTAAATACTACAAAAGATATAAAATTCCGGATCTTTTTGTTTTATATTTATGCATTTCTTATACGCTATGACCCTGCCACCCTACATGAATAAGCTGTATGTTTAGTTAGAAGTGCAAAGAGAATAGAAATTATCATCAGGCGATAGCGTCTAGAAGCAACTTAGCTAAAAGAAGTCTTGCTACTTAATCTGATTGTGTAAATTGAAGCATGGTATTACCGCATAACTGACTATGGATAAGTTAGCATCATGATTCTTAAAAAAAGTTTTAGAAGCCTCTTTTAATTAAGAATGCCACTGAACTAGTGACCTGATACACGTTTATCCATACCTCTTAAACACCAAATACTTGGTAGCAATTCTGGGTGTCTTGACTAGCACTAACTTACTACCTATTGCAACACAGATTCCATAAACATGAAATTACCTTCTCTGCTGCCAAAATACAGGTCTGTGGTCTTCATCTGGATTCAAAGTCACTGTAAGTGCATTCGTGTGTACTGACCATCAACACAAGTCCCGTAATTTATAGGACGTAGCCAAAACGCCATCAGCACTTCTCAGATTAAATAGGGAAACAACGGCAGTAGTAATAGCACTAAGTTGACCACTGAAATCGACGCCGCCTCTGTCAGAATTTCGCTACAAAGCACTCCTGACAGTGCACTGTTTGTAAAATCACAGATTTATGATTGGTTTGTAGCAACTCAGCACACCTACAAAAGATCTTGTTTCATTTATGTCACCAGTGATTTGCTTATCTGTCAGGATGAGCAATTCAGCGAAAGTTTGCGTATTTTATCCCCCCTAGAGTGAAAACCAAATGAGGCCGTTTTTTTTTCAAAATGGATACCACAATTTCAAGGTTAATCTGTTTAAATTAACACAAGACGCAACTTTATCACTAATAATGCTTAGTCAGTTCCTTGTAACAAGAAAGTTACCTTTCATGAATGCATTTCTAAATAGGCTACAGAGGCGACGAAATTATGAAAGCTAAAAGCGTTGGAGTAAAATCAACTTTGGTAATGAAAACTGCAGTGGAGTCATGTATAGAAGCTTGATGACGACCTTTAATCGCCGATTTTCGAAAAACTGATGTTTATGAATGCATTGTTAGCCACCTGAACCCGTTAATCCACTAAATTTTAGGATGCTTAAGAGAGGCAAAACCCAGCAGTAATGATATTATTACGGCTTATTTTCGAGTGCCTCCTCTAAAAAATGTATATTTGAAAAAATGAAAGCAAACCTGTGCAGTCTAATAAACTACGTGGAATTGCTGCTGTCACTTGTAGTGTATTGTGAGTCAACGTTTTGATTCCCCACAGTTACTAAAATTGCTGACAGGTGTGATCTTTGTTGAATAAAAATATTCAAGTCAAAATAAACCTGACATTGATTTAACTAAATAAAAGAACTCATTTATTTCATTAAAACGAAAAATCATGATTGAAATACCAAGTAGCATTGTAAATGGAAATATAACTAATGATAATCCCCATTTTCTCGAATTCAATCACACCCGAAATCAAACTAAAAGTAGAAAATAGGTCATTTAGTTGGGGCATCGTAATAATTTACATTGTGTTTAAAACTACTTTTTAAGTGTGCTCCAGACTTTCAATCACGTTATTTGACGCCAGTAAATTATAGAAAAAACCTTGGCCAAGGTTTTCACATCGTACACTTATAACTGAATAAGACCTTTCTACACCATAACACATCTATGGTGCAGCGAACTTTGTGTCCTTTAAATAGTTGAATATGTACTGTAACTGATACGTCTTTGTTGATGTAAAGGAAAAAGGCGGTTCGAGGCCCCATGGAATTTATGTAAACTCCTACCAAAGTCATCAAAATATAAACACGTCGAACTTTTACATGAGATTTCACCGGCTCCATGTGGGTGTGAAATCAGATATTTATAAACAAAGCTAGTTTAAACCCATTAAATTAATTCACCAGTCGAAAATATTCTCCATTGAAGTTAACGGTTAACGTATTTTCTACACACCTTAATCAGGAATGAGTTTAAACCAGGGCAAGAAAACATGAATACGTATTCCAGCAGCCCCTAAACGTTGTTTATTTTATCACGAACACATTCGTTTGGACAAAATATTATAAAGTGAAAAAAACATAAACAATAGGGACTCGTTTCTCTGGCCTCATCTCAAAATCAGCTAATACTGTGCAGAATATGTTGCTGGATAAGCACTCATCTCTAAAAATGTCACATCTAGCACTAGCTATTAAATGTTATCAATGACTAACTTCAATATGGAGTGATGTAGCGGTTAAGTGTGCCTGTGTATGTGTGTGCAATTCTTCTAAAGAAATGCTCTGCTTTTTCATTCAACCAACATCGAGACGTACACGAGCATGCTGTTCGAAAACTGAAATTCAGTTGGAACCCAATTAGTGTTAAAAGGGGGTTTTCTAAGTCAGTTTAACAAGTCAGCTTCAGGAGTGAGAAGCAATGTGCGGTTTGACGTTTTGCTAGCAAAGCGTTTTAGGACTACCAGAATCTGTTATTCACTCCCTCATTGAAGACGGCATAAAGTTCAATCAATTGTCCGATTTGGTAGCGAGTATCGTAAAAAAAATGACCATTCTCAAAACCTTGTTTTCTTTATAAGTTATCGAATTGGAAGAATTGACAAGGTGGATTCTGCTGGCTTGACGCATAAATGTATTCTCTGAAAGCACGTCTGAAAAACGTGCAAGCACCAGCGGGTAAAAGTTTTCTTTTTAGAGATATATTCACATAATTGCAGGAAATAGCCGCAGAATGATAGGCTGAAGGCTTCATCTGACTGCATGCGCATAAACTACGCACCACAATGCATCACGTTTTGAAGTTAGTATGTGTAGTACATTGTGTGATGGTGGGTATCCTTGCAGTTCCCCTCCTGCATGACGGTAACCATTAGCGAAAATCTGTGTTGGTGGATCTTAATTTAGTGTGCATGAAAGCTGCATGCTCCTCACTTATTTAAATGAATTATAAGCGTGCTGAACGCGACACGGAACCCACAACATTATTTTTGTGCTGGTCAGCCTGCATATTTCAAGAGATTTTATAGTAGACATGTGTATTTTCTTATGGAAACGTGGCTTCATCTAATCTTGCAAGCAGTAATCACTGCTTTATCTGGCCTCAAGCAAAAGTCTAAGATCAACTAAAAACCTCAAAGCAATGTTTTAAATCACGTCTAGTTTAAAATTAAAACTCTTCGTTGTGGTTTTGTGCATAGATGTGTTGTAAGTCGAGATGCACACATAGTTATTATGCACTAAAGGGCATTTGATATTCACGAAATATTGAGCATTCACGATAATGTCACCAACGCGATGTCTACATTAGTAAAAATTACCGTGCTTTTTGAACCAGAATACCATAAGATGTTAGCAATCAAATTAGAAAAATCAGGCACTGCTTTGACACCATTTGAAACTGTTTATTCCGTCACGGACATTGAGCAATGCCACTTAAGTGGGATGTCGCTCCATATTTCAAGAATCAAATTGACGTCACAGGAAACATTCTTGCGATAACATGAAGGTTAGAAAATACACGGAAAGATAAAACATCTCTTAGGTCAATTTTCTAGCAGGTTAATTGAAAGTAACTCATGACAAAGAGGGTGACCATTTATAAAAAAAATTGTATATGAATATACATGAATTTGAATTAGTTTGCCTTGCTAAATCTGTAGGCAATGCGACACAGTGACTTCATTAGTCGACAGATTTTTACAGAATGCATTTCTATTGCAAAGCCAGATCAATTTGACCAAGATCAACAGAGAAATAAGATATATTCAATAATATTCAGCATTTACTTCGCTACATACATTAATTCACTCTTATCTGGTGGCTGTAATGAGCCGTGGTTTAAGTTGGGAACCTAACCTATTTGGAAGTTTCTGATGCAAGAAACATGTGCTTTGGGATCTGCAAGTATGACATTAGACATAAAGAATATACGAAAAAGACATAAAAGAATAACTTTAATGGTTGTCATTAGATCCTCAGAAAGTGTTTCATGCTGTGAAGCTCTTGGTGTAGGGAATTTTTTTAAATGACGCTTTCTGAACGCATTGACGAAAGATCGCAAATGAAGTCAGTGAAGTTGTTTCCTACGTCAACGTTGGAGTATTTAAACTAAGAGCCTGACCGGCAAAGCAAATTTGGTTTGCGAAGTTTTGTTACTGGGCCTCGAATATTTTGTGTTTTCCTAAGCAACCTTACAGCCCTGCTAGTAAGAAAAGGCCTTGACAATCCGAGAGCAGAGACAAGTCGAGCAACGACGGATACAACCGTTCATTCGCGTCAAACCAGCGTGTGTGCCTTGATAAGGGTGCGTGACCGACGAACTTACCGCCAGATGTCGCCCTATTTCAAGCGGACAGTTCACTATGTATGGCGGACCGCTAAAAAAGAAGGGAATAGGGGCATGATTTGAATGCGAAATCAGCGAAAAATTATGTTCTTTATCTGAATTTAAGATGTACTATGGATTTGAACGTTGCTACTTGCCCATTGGAAATTACGGAGAACTTGAAGTAGCTGAGACCAGTTCGGATGGTCCAGATAAATATCGAGACATACATCAGTGCATGCAGCAGAGCCAAGCCAAAGGGACGGAAATGGGAGTGGGTCTCATCCTCAAGTGCAGTAGGGGACACCTCATTCCCAGAATACTTGACACCAACTTTTACACAAGAGAGTTAAATAGCTCTGGAAATCTCAAATTTGAGAGGGTTGCCAACCCGTACCCTTTCATGGGATTAGTGTTTTACCCCAAGGGATGTTTCGTGGTGGGTGCGCGCACCAATCCACCAGTTGCAGTAGAAATAGCTATAAACTTGTTAGCCAACGCCATGTCTCACACCGAAGAAGGGCCACAAGGACAACCCACCAATCACGAAGGCGAACCCGTAGGCTAGGTCACTGCAAAGTCGCTGCCGTCTACCGTTGCCCTACATGAACTAACCCAAGACCCAAAACGGATAGATTTCGAGTCCCCATGAAAATCGACTCCCAATGGTAGGGAAACGTCGAAATTGAGCAGTTACTCAACCAGGTAGTTCTTATTATTGTGAACCATGATTGGCGAGGTCGTTTCTGAAGACCTCCTGCGAGATTAAAACACCGTTCTCTGCCTGTGCGACTGCCGTCTTCTTGATGCCCCGAATCTTCAAAATCAGGCACGCAATTTAGGAATATACCTTTATGTCTTGGCAGATTACATCCACTAGTGCCATTAATCCTTGTAAAAAGTGGGACCAAGAAAAATCACTAAAAACCGGGGAGGTTTTTGCATCTGCCTTGTCAGTCGTACTTGAACCATCTTCTGCGACACAAACATATCAGATTCGTCGAATTGTAGGTGAAGGGGTTAGGGAATGTACACGCAAAATGTGGTGGAGGAGTACGCGATCATTCGTTGGGTAGAAAGGCACAGCCAAAACACAAAAAAGGCAAAAGATGGCAGTTTCAAGGGGGTGTAGAGAGGTAGTTATTCAAAAGCGGATCTGATTGACCAAAATACGTTGGTAGACGTCAGCATCGAGTCGGTTGTAGACGTTGGCTTTGGTGTTCAAGTAATAAATCCTGTCGTTGGTGGCATTTATGTCGAACCCTGTCTTCATCATGTTTATTTTCTTAAACTTGAAGGTGTCTATAAGGCGAAAAGAAAAAAAATTAACAGATATCAAGTCGTACACTAATGATCCGAATACGTACAAGTTAGGTTGCCTAAGTGACTAAATCTGGCATTATACACGTCAGGTCAGTTAAAACAAAAAATGATGCCACGTTAGTTTCATTCAGACAAGGAAGAGAAGTATTGGAACCTGAACCAGAGTACGAAAATCATACCTTAAAAGTGATGAGCGTGAGGAACAAAATACCTGTTTCAAAAGTTACCTAATTGTACAAGCGAGGCTGAAAATTTTTGAGTGGATTTTAATGATATCATCGGTGCTGCAGTTCGCGAGAATGCCCAATTAGAATCGGCATAACAACAAAGATCGTCTCCACGCACTCACGTATAAGTTGACAGGCCGCTAATAAATGATACATCGCTACACCACAAACGCATTCAAATGAAGACATGCTATTTTTTTCATTAAGTAAATATTGCAGGTGTTATCGTGCAACAGCTTTGTGTTTATATGACTTAAATAAATTGATCTTATTGGCACGAAGCAATGGACTTCACGTTCCAGCCTTAGTGGATTGCAGGAACCGAGCCTAGTTCACTAATACGGTACAAAACTTGGAGAAACTCTACCATTCAACAACCGGACACAACGATTAGGGGACTGGTTGGTGAAAAATAAGGAAGAAAATGTAAAAATGCGACCTACAACACGTTGATTAACATCGAATTGGTAACGAAACATGGACGGCATGGTTAGGGTAGAGGAATGGACGGGATCAAGTGCAAGTCGATTATTATACTCCCGTTTGACTGATTTTTTCCACAAAAATCGTTGCTTGTTTACGTGGCAATACGAGTTTGAGTGAAATAATGAACTTTAGAATGGAGACCATGAAGACTTGGGGAGAGAAGTAGAAACGAAATTGGGAGAGAGAAGGAATCACTTACCGGTGGTATCTAAAGCCTTCATGAAACGCACAAACAACGGACGCGCATAAATAGGAAGCTGTTTCCCGAAGACATCGGCCAAGTCGTTCAGTAACTCGGCTTCAAGAATTTCGGGACGCACGTCAGCACGGGCGTGACCCTCAGTGAGAGCGCTGTTATTGTTGCCACCGTAGGCGTTGTCGTAGAGCGAAAGTGCGAGCATCCCGGCGCGCCCCTCGTTCCCGGGCACCTTGACCCCGTACACAGCACAGTCGGCGAAGTTGATCGCCTTGGCAACCAGGTTCTCTACCTCCGTTGTGGAGACGTTCTCTCCACGCCAACGGAAAGTGTCACCAAGACGGTCAACGAAGTAGAAAAATCCGAGCTCATCTTGAACCAAAAGATCACCTATATGGGGGAGGTAAGAACCTGTTATCCCAGTCAGATCACTTTTGTGTTAGTAAACTTCAACCTCACTGATGTGTGGACTCCCAACACGCCTATATGTACACACTTTTAGGTTTGAGACAGGTGTTTAAAGCTGCATAAAAAAGTCACTTTTAAAATTGACTCCAAGGCTTTAGATGTTCCTTCGCTAAAAACAGCAAGGTCGGAATCGAGAAGGCCATGGAGCGTGAAGATCAAGCTTACTCCATCTTAGTTTAACCTTAAAATTGTAGTGAAATTTCTGGCTTTTAGATGAATGAAGTCATGAACTGCCAAGATTCGTATTTATAAATAAAAGTATCCCACTACTTGATACAATAAAAAAGGGCGCAGATAACCGTAATTAGACAGTTGAGAGGGAGGGTGTAGAATAAACGAGAATTCGTTCATGTAAAAACATATGTTTACTTCTTTAAGAGTTAGCACTTCTCAGATCTGAATACGAAATTTCGACAGGTGAGCCGTCATTCGCATTCAGACGTGTGACAGCGTAGGAGTATTGAATTGGTTTAAGCACATAATTGTGAGAAGTGTGGGCTTGATTGTGAAATTGTATAACCTCATGGCAAATCCAATTAAATGCATGACTTATCGGCTTCAGAGTAAGTTGGTTTGGTTTCAGATGCCTAGCTGAAGATGATCCAAGTCAACAAAGCCGGAACCGTCGGTTAAATAAGCGGTACCACTACCATTCTAGCACACGGAGTAGGGAATGATAAAGAGATGTACCTGAGAGGAAATATTTGTCGCCAAAGCACTTGACATTGGAAATGACCTTGCGAGACGTCTCCTCGCGATTAATGTAGCCCTCAAAGTTGCGAACCGGACTGGAGCGCTTGATACGGCCAACCAACTGACCCACCTCGCCGTATTCGCATAGAATGCAGAGTCCTGTCTTGGGATCGCGCACAACCTCGCCGGTCTCCAAGTCTGTCTTCACTAAAATCACCGGATAGGCCCAAGGCAAAATAATGGAAGTGAAACCCAGGGAACCGACCTAAAAAAAAACAAATATTATGGCTCTTTCAACCGGAATAGTTTAAAGGCTCAAAACACTCAGACTGGGGCTGAAAATAGCTTGAAGTAGTTCGCTGAACCAAATAAATCTGGGAAAATAGTGATGCATTTGTAAACATTTAATGACTAGGAGTCCCTTATCTGTGGGTAACGTTGAATTCGATTCTGCTCACAAAGTGACGAGGAGTTCAAGCTAGGAGCCATAGTGGGCACGAAATTTGATTTAAAAAGATTCAAAAGGATAACTATTGTAATCGTTCAATCTCTAGTCTGATAACTCCGAGTGGGCTGCATGCTGCACCCATAGTAATTGGGCGTGAGCAAAGTACTTCGTTTTGTTTGTTATGTGCGAGTTATTGACGTATTACACGCCATGTCTTTCGCATTATCGGGTGATCGAAAAATACGCGCTCGATTTGAAACCAAATTAAATGCAACACACTTTCATCAAAAATAGTACTAATGTGCTCGCCATCATTTCCTTCAGTTCCAAATTTTTTAGGAATTTTGAATTCCTCTGTGGGAAAATACGTGGTTGCTTTTCAAGGAAAATCGCAAGGTGTTTTTGTGACTGCTTCCGTGGATTTAAATCTTTTCGCAGTACGAGCTATTTTGTCGAGAACAAAACCAGTGTCATTGGAGCGACGTGTGGTCTAGCGTTGTCATGGTTAAAGATTATGCCTTTCTGAGTGACCACATTTGTACGTTTTGGGTGGATTTCAACTGTTCTTTGCAGTTTTTCCTTGGTCACGTGGGAGAAGATCTTAAAAAAGTACTCGACACAAAACACTAAATCACTCCCAGAGCTAAGTTTATTGTCACGGATTGAAGCCACGATGTTGAAATCGACTAACTGTCCACAGAACTGAAGTACGTCTCGAAAAATGCCTTTAATGTTTTGAATAATAACTGTGCACGCAAATTAATTCAGATAAACACCCAGGGTTAAACAGAGACACTACGTATTTAGATAACTGCCAGTTAGTAATCTGATTATGACGGAGGCATCGGCATGCATGCATCGGTCATTTATGAAAATCAGGCACAAACTTTTGCAATCACCCAATCGAGACAGGAGCGTGTTCTTCCTGACCCACATTACATGAGTGCATTTAGTCAGACAAGAGAACTATAGCAAAGTAAACAAAGTGGGTTTTACAGTGAACTCTTGAGAAAAGTAGTCAGATGAGCTACTTAAGTGTCAGTTGACATAAAAGACAATATAATTTGTGCTCCTATTAAACATGTAGGAAAGTAAGTGCTCAATCCGTGGACTAGAGCAGATAGAAGACAAACTGAAGTGGTCCAAGAAAGAGAAGAAATAAAACTGACCTTGTTCTCCGAATTAGCGAGGTTCGAGTTTGACTCGGTGGCGCCGTAGTACTCGCCCACCTGTTTGATGCCGAAACGCTTGACGAAATCGACCCAGATCTCGCGACGAACCCCGTTGCCCGTGGCCAAGCGAACCTTGTGTTGGGTCTCCTCGGGGGAGTGGGGCTGTGAGAGTAGATAGCGAAGCGTCTCACCGACGTATTGAATGACCTACGACAGTGGGGTTTGATTAAGTGCGAATCGGCAATCGGTGTGCAAAAAATCAGTAAAAATGACAGGACACGACGGATAAGTGTGGGTGACAGGTTCGGTCAAAAAACACCACAGTTGATATTTACGCTGTATATCAACCCCCCACCATCTTTGCAATTTAAAGTCGGCACAGAGAGAATATTTATTGGGGTTGAAACGAGGTGCGCGGTGACACAGACGACATACGCTGCACACCGCTTGGAGCGGCGGCGAGCCCAGACGGCAGGTGAAATGAGTGACACTGCGACTTTTTTTTACGTTAGCACATAACGCGTGGCAATCAGAATCAAGGGGAATCAAATAGAAAAAAGTATTTAAAAAACACTGATATTAAATATATGCACAATTTGTATGTAAGTAATCATTTGAAGCATCTAAAACCAAAAATCCACCCTTCTAAATAGTTAAAAGCTTTAGAGAACACCGCACAAATCTCCTTGTAGTCATCTGCACTATGAATTTGTACACCGAAAGTGGTATCTCGAATTCTTGCAATTTGCTTCGGAGGACCGAGAATTTTGATTGGCTGCTTGAAGAGTGATTGGATTAAACAAGGCCTTCTACAGACTACGGGTTATTGCAATATTTATCAGCACAATGTCCATTTGCCCATTTTTGATTTCACGACAACACAACAGCATTGTTCTTCAGTATAGATAGTAAACGACTGGTCCTATATAGCTCAGAATTGTCATCAACAGGCACGGGCAGATGTCCGCTGGTCCTGGTAAGTCTCCATTACCACCAAAGAATTCTCGGAACCACTAACACTGCATTTGCTCAATAACCTCACCTTCGCTAAATTCAGTATTCAAGCGGCGAAGCATAGCAACCACGCAATCGCCAGTCCAAATTACCAAACAACACACATTTTCACGTACTCTGCAGAAATTAACGTAGCTCAACATTGCACAAACATCACAATTTTAAACTAGTCGTTGGTGAAACCAAATTTCGGCCGACAAACAAACTGGCATTTTATATCACACCACTTAACACGCTTTCGCAAGCATCACTTCACAGATAAATGTTTATCTCGGGTTCCTTTATGGTAGTGCCAAGTGTGCAGACAGATGACCCAAGTCTCTGACGTAAGGAATCCAAAATACGCAGTCAGAGGAAGAATTCTCTGTAATAAGCCTTGTTTACTTCTGTGGTTTAGCTCGCTGAACACATTCTCAGTCCAGGTGTTAAATCCTCCACGCAGAGAAAGGTGTGACCTGTTATGCGGGTCTAGAACGCTTCATTTACCTCTATGTGTTTTTCTAAGACATACAAAATACTGAGTGGCACGTACTATGGTTGTTGCTGCCCATTCGGATGGATTTCTTGATTCAATTTGTGCTTTACTTTATGCAATTGAAATTTCAAGTTGTTGACCGTTGGGGCTAAGTGGCAAACAACACCAGAGAAGGCTTATGTCGGGACCCAATGGAATCAGAGGGATTCGTGGCCTGGTTGGCACGCTAAAAGTCAAACTATCTTTGCAAAATGCACAAGTTGAATTAATGCAGGTTGAGTAAAACGAGGTCTAAGGTAGCCATGTTTAGAGTACAATGGAAGCTTCATGCTTGGGTATTCAGGCGGTTAACTTAGGTTCATGGAAGTCAATACTGGCGAAAATCGAACATTGGTTCGCATTCGTGGCCGACATGTGTTTACACGTGCTCTAAATTCCAACGCATAAACAGCGGCGAGTTTACTAAGAAAGGTGCAAAGCACGTACTACATTATAAACTAGTAAACGAGCCGATAAAAATACAGTGGAAAATTAACCCGGGCTGATATTCCTGGAGTCGGGTGCAAACCCGTGTTTCGGTCAAACTGAATGAGACTTTAAACTTTGATGAAACGGAGATCACGAACAAAAAAGCACCGAGAAAGTAGTTTAGTCACTGTCTTCTACAACAGCGCTCTGCGTTAGTTATTATGAATAGTAAAGCGTCGATTCAACTGACACGCCGAAGCCATATCGCCACAGTAATTGGGTTGCCAAGTCTGGATTCAAATTATTAGCAGATAATAACGAGGCTCCCTACGATGACAAATACGTTGATTCGAGTTTAATTGCTAACCAGGAATTCATTAATAGCATTGAGGAGAAAAACGATTGGTTAGAATATTGGCTGTTGAAAATGGGTTGAGTAAAGTTCACAAATCTCCACAAGCATTAAAACACGCAGTGCTATTGGCAAAGTGCATTAACCACCAACTGCGAACAAGGCAAAATTGCCACCAGCTGTCGCTTAACGAACGACAGATGTCACACAAAAAACCACTAGCGTGAGGTTAGTCGTTCTGCCGATCTGAAAACCAGAGTATTCTTTGAGGTCGAGTTAAGCGACAAGCCAGTTTACAAATTCGGGAAGAAAAGTCAGATTCGTAAAAGGGCGCAACTCACTGTGCAGTCATATTTGATGCAATCAGACCAAAATTTGGAAGCCGAAAAACGAGTACGGAGAGCTATTTGCACTCCAAAGAAGAGCATTTGGCCGACACCAACGATTCCACCAGCAGTGTGATAGATGGGCAGCGGAATGTACATCACGTCGTCCGGACGGATGCCACAAAAGTAGTGGATTGCAGAGCACATGAACATGTACCGAGAAAGTGTGATGATTGCCGCCTATAATCAGGGAAATTCAAAGTAACCGAAAAGCCTGAAAACCAATAACGCAAGGATGTTCCCATGGGAAAGAAATTGCCGCGAATTTGACACATTTAAAGATGCACTAAACCCAGCCAAATGGGGAGCAATGTCAAGCGCATTAAGAAACAGTCTTATATTAAATTGACACCTTATGATACCACGCTGGCTCCAGAATCTTACTGAGACACTAAGAATGATGATTTCGGTAAGTATTGTGTCGTAATTTCATACCTGTAATAACAACTGAAAATGAGACAGACAATGATAAATAATCGGTGCTCGGAAGCAGAGCGGTTTCAGGTGGTAAATTCAGGCACTTCTTCTTTTCGACTTTGACCAAGAAAAAATCCAATTAATAGCTACAACTGCTGCTGACCTTGGGCATTCCTGATGTTCCACTGGTGAAGACGTAGATGAGGACATCGGTGAGAGCAAAAGGCTTCGTAGGAGGCGGGGGAGACGCCGTTGAACTTGCACTGATGGCGTCGGCAAGAGGCAAATGGGTGATCTGGGTGGCAACTAGGTCAGTGCCCCATTGAGTCTTTGTCTTGGTCTTCGGAGGAAAGAGGATGACGTCCCGACCCTTGGGCAACTTGCCCTCGGGAACGATGCCTGCCTCCATGACAGCCTCCACCAAGCTGCCTCCGACAATGACTGCCTCGGGGTTCAGCTGCATTAGGCACTTTACGAGGGCGTCTCGCCGAACGTTTGAGTTTATTAAACCTGTCGCGATCCCGACCTAAAAGGCAAATGAGCACATTCCAACCAGCCTAAGGTTATCCGACTGCGAGTTACTCTTAGTTGAATAGATACGGTGGTATGACCAGATACAAGGTAAAGTATTGAGGCTATTCGTAACCATAAGTGGGAAGTCAGGAGGCAACAGCTTCTTGAATGACCTTATAATTAACGTCACCCGTTCCAGTGCTGGTTTCCAAACACAGCAAAGAATTTTTATTACATGGCTTATTCCGCTCCCATTTTTTTGCGTGATACAATGCAAATAAATTTTGCCCCTAACTAAACCGCGCCTTTGACTAGAACGACTGTAAGAATACTGTGAGGCCTAACTATCAGGATTTTCGATGTCTAGAAACCTAAGGTGAAAAGCAGTAGACAACACAACTTGAAGAAAATAAACGAAAAAGATCGCTAAATATCGTTTTAGAGTGCTTCACAGATGCTTTAATGTCATTAGTGAAAATCACGCTTTTGTGGAGCAGCCTTTCACAGCATACTCATCGAAATTTAGACTGCACGTCAGAACGTGCCACAAGCGAAAATTCGAACACGTTCAACATCGTGGAGACTCTTTTCCTACCTCCAAGAGTGGTCTTGTGGCCGGTGGCAAACACGACCACACAATCTCAAAAGCAGTGACAGCACACGCACAGACGGAAATTCGAGAAGAGTGCGTCATTTACGGATCCTCACGTCCGTAAATTGTTTTTAACAATACTGCATGAATGTATACTAGTTCAAACGTTAGCCTACATTAAGTCTGTTCATATTCTATTCAATGTATTCAAAACTTTAAGGCATTTGAATTACCTATAAACAAGGCGTTTGCTTGTTTGGCTTAGCGTTATGCAGTTTTAATACTAAAAACGGCAAAATAAATCCGAGGCAAAGGGCCCAAACAGCCAAAAGAAGAAACCGCAAAAATGCCCAGAAAAAAATTAATAGTGGCAACAAAATATGGACGAACAAGAAACCGAAAATGTGCATTAATGAAAAGAAAAAATCTTAGATACCTTTGAAGCACCTAGCCAGAGTGCAATGTACTGAGGTTCAGTCTCCATAAAAAGAACGATATTTTGCTGGCGTTTGATGCCTTTTGATATGAGGAAGTTCCCAATTCGATTTGAGTAATCGTCTAAGTCACCATAGGTCCACTTACTATCTAAATGGACCACAGCGACGGCATCACGTCCTTTTCGCCTCACCTGAGCTGCAAATATATCTCTCAATCCGTGTTGACGCCATGCGGTCAAATAAAGCATTAGATATAGCCGAAATAAAACAGAGAGAGCTCTGAAAGAGGAACATGAAACATTTAAATGACTGGTAGATTAAAGTTGGATACGTTTAAAAAAACGTTTATGCAAGATCAAAATGTATTAACATGAATTTAAGATCAACAGGAAGACCAGTCGAAAACCGAATGTCTAAATGAAAAAAGGTCAAGCCATAAAAAACAGAATAACGTGGCTAAACTCCAAACAAACGACACCAAATAAGACTAAAGACTCTGAAGAACTGAGCGGCAGCGCGGTACTTAATCAGCACCAAAACAACTGAGCAACAGGCAGAAAATGGCGGAGTTAAAATTACGGAATAAAAACCATGTACACAAAAAACCAAATCACGATCATAAATAATGGAAGGCTGAACCGTGTATACTCACTTGCAAAATGACTAGAGAGGAAAAGTATTATAGAGTACACAATTCCAATAAATTTATTCGTCATACTTCAGAACATTCACTGCACGCTTTAGACATCGTTAAAACAGGCGACGATGGATTCACGGATGTCAAAAACATAGGTTAAATGAATTGAAACAAAATGAAGAATTTGGAGCAGCACAAGGAGGTTTGGCCATTGAACAACAACTTAAAACTTACAGCAAGTCCCGTGGTATTGTGAGAAGAACTGCACGAGCATATCGCCAGCCACCGGTCACGAGATATAAAAACAAGCTGGAGAACAGAGAAACATCCCACGTACATGATGAAATGAACTTTGTCACAAACAAAGTTATCCAAAAAATCTTCGCAGAGTACTTTCCAGATACAATAATCATCGCGGACAAGGAGCTACACAAACACGCTACGAATTTTCAAAACAAATTCCTCGTGAGTAGAAGCAAAGCACGAGCACACAAGATACTTCGCAATGATTGGTTCCGAAATGCTATTCAATGTATTTATTCAACAAAAAGGTCGCGTTTGTACCAAATGACATATTAAAACTAACTTTTTTTCTTTAACCTGCTTATCTGCAATTTTTTTGGGAAAATATGCTTATAACTAAGAACAAAACTAAAAATTACGCGAATTTCGAACCACAGTGCAACAAAAAATGTTTTTCTTCTGTTTTGGTATCACAAGTCTTTGAAACTTGCATAACATCGACTAAACCGGGATGGTCTACGTTTATTAAAAATTTACTTGGAGTAAGTGTCAAACTTTTGGGTATATATATCCGTCTGAATATTTCTACACGAAATTTTTACATCGAAACAAATTGATTTTGTCTTTAGACCACAAACGCAATTTTCATTTGAAATATGTCGGCATTTTTTCACCTTACGTTGGATATTGTAATTAGACATTTATAATTCCATTAATTTTTTTGTTTCTTCTGCAGGCAATGGTCTAACCAAACTCTGAGACAGTTGATTTTAGGTATTCATTACCTTGAATGTTAAATTGTTTATTGTACAAAACACTGATTTTTTTTAAAAGTTATTTTTACTGCAAGGGAGTAAATTTTGGGCCTTTTTAATTAAATACTAGATAAAAAAGATTAAATTATGAGCCTTATTTTAACACATTTTTTCAAGCAGCGATAGTTTCACAAAATCGGATTCATTAATTGGTCAAGATATAGCCAATGGAACACAGGCTACCATTGCACACTTTGTATTTCGCCTATCTATTGACAGCGTGGCTATTTCCAAATACGATGGGAGCTGGTGGTATGTTCACAATTTTGACAGTATTATTTGATTTTGGCGGCGTTATATTTGTACTTGTTTTGCTGTCGCTTCCGTGGTTTTATCGTCGGTTGTATTGTATTGCCAAATATCAATTTAAAGTAGTTGAAATTTCCAAGCTTAATCAGGACAATCTCAGGAATGTGTCGTCTATGTGTTGCGATGCTTTTTTTTCTGGCGTTCTACTCAATGATAATTTCATGGTGACCGCTATTAATAATTAACTTACAGCGATGAATCGATGTTGCCGCTTTGTCATTTTGAACTCATAAGTTTATACGTTTGTGAAATATCTAACCTTGAGCATCCAACTGAGGCTCGTGTCCCCTCTTTTTTTTCATTATCATACCAGTTAAGGTCAAATTCTAAATGAATGCTGACATTTTCCTTTGCTGCTTGTGTATGTGCAGCTTTTTACCAAGAAGTAATAAAAGTTGTACATATGGTCGTAGGTACATATTTCCATTTAATTCATTTAGTGTGAAATGATTTGTCAAAAGAATTATGAAGCTACCTTGTGCTATTTCCCGTCTCTGTCTCTTGTAGAATTGATCATAGGCATGGAGCAGGAGCCAGTTATGCCACATCTAGATGGTAACACGATCATTGTTGATGGTTGTCCTGTCGTTGGCAAGGCGAAAGCGGATCTCCTAAAAAATGTTTTGCTGAAAAAATTCTCCGCCATTGGCGAGATTATTTACAGTAACTTGCCAATGAACGACACTGAACAGACGTCTGGGTACATGTTTTTGACGTACGCCACTCCCGAATTGGCAACAAAAGCTGTTAAGGAGATGAACAATCTTGCCCTCGACAAAGCGCACACACTTCTGGTCACCAGCCTGTCCGACTACAGTAAATCGATAAATGTTGGCAAACATTGGAATCCTCCGGAAAAAAAGCCTTACCATGATGTGGGTAATCTGCGCAGTTGGCTACTAAATGAGTTTGCTCGTAACCAATTCGCACTCCTTCATCAAAACGGAGACAAGTGCTCCATTTTCTGGCACACCAATTCCGAGGAGATTCGCATTGAGGAGCGCGATGACTGGTCCGAAGGCTGGATTCACTGGTCTCCGCATGGCACATACCTTGCCACTATGCATTCTCAGGGTGTAATCCTTTGGGGCGGTGATAAATTTGAGCGAGTGGCTAGATTTGCGCATCGAGATGTTGGGATGCTCGACTTCTCACCTAATGAGAAGTAAGTCAAATTTTTACTTATTCTGCAAGTTCCACCCAAAACAAAATAACTGTCTTTATATACACATACACAGGATTACCTGTATATTTTGCAGGAATATTAAATGATACTTTGCTTTTTAAGTGTCATGTTGGCATAAGTCCTCTTAAACTAATATTTTTAAATTTATTTGTAAAAATCCTATGCTTGTGTAGTAAATGGAGGGTCGGTTCAATTCCCAAGCTTTTGCGGGATCCTAAAAAGTGAATATTGCCTTTCAAAACGTACAAGTACTTCAAGCGTTAAATTTATCAAGTTTATAGCAAAGAAACCGCCCATTTCGTATCTATCTTATTGATTATCACAGTCGAAGTTGACGATGTTTGACAAATCATAAAATGTAATGGCAGGATTACAATGCAAGATTTAGGAGACCTCTGCAAGCGACAACCTTAAGAAAGGTGTTGCAAAACTTGTCCCAAATTCATAAACCTTCAGGATATACTAGTATTTTGGGGTTTACTTTTTGAAGGAATCCGGTGCATCATTAATGAAAGCCAGAACTGCTCCTCCAAACATAACTTATTACTTACTACAAAACTTGCAGGAAGTAGTCGTAAATAATTTGGTTACTCGAACACGTGTTGCTGTTAGTTTTTATGGGTCAGGGATATTTTAGTCTACGTGTAATGCGCTGCTGTCTTTACTAATTTTTTTTCTAAATAAGTCTGTTCCTTGCTCGCAACCATTACGCAAGCTTGACATTGTTGATTTTTCTCTTGTCTAATTAAGGGATACCCAAAAGGAGAATTCTATCGCTTCAGCATCAGTGTTAACATGGCAGTGCTTTCACATTTGTAGGTTCATGGTGACCCTGAGCCAAAACGCCGAGGCCCGAGAGAAACAGAACCATTCTTTGTGTGACATGATCATTTGGGACGTGCGTAAGGGCACGCCCTGTCGAAATTTTTCCGGTTCTATTAACTCCTGGCCTACCTTTAAGTGGTCCCACGATGATGCCTACGTAGCCACATTACAGGGAGGGAAAATATACATCTACGAGACCGAGTCTTTCCGGTTGATCGACAAGAAACCCCTTGCGATGCCCGTCTCCATCTATGACTTTGCTTGGTCCCCGACAGAAAACATAATTTCCTTTTGGACACCGGAGACCAACAACACGCCTGCAAGGTAAGTATTTTACTTCCTCGATTGCCTACACGTAATTCCAACTGTTGTATCTGTAAGTCGAAGCCGACTAATTTTTTCCATACCTGTGTGATCTTGCTACGAAAGTAGTCAACTCACTAACAACAATTCGCACAAATCGTTATTTCTTGAGGACGTAGTCTTTCTCAAAATCGAATCTTTACAACATTTGCTTTAAAGACATTGACTGCATGAAACTTCGGTATTTTTTAATTCTCCAAACGTACCTTACCTTGTAGAGTTGCGCTCATGTCTATCCCTTCACGAAAAGAGTTATGCACCAAGAACCTCTTTTCCGTAGCCGAAATTCAGCTAATTTGGCATCCGCAGGGTGATTTCCTTTGCGTTCAGGTTCTTCGTTGCAACAAAAAGAAAATCGAAGGTGGTCAAGTAAAGTACCTCGTAAGTTTACTGCTTGAACTTGTTGTCGTGCCAGTCTGCAAGGTTTTCTTGGCTACTTCCATTTCCGAGTAGTCGCGAACAGATATTTAATCATTCTTTTGTAATTTAAGGCCCCCTCAAATTGCCACTACACTATTACTTTGTGATTGGCTCAAATCACTTTACCTTTCGAGTGGAAAAGGCTTAAAACCGAAGGCTGTTAGTAACTGGCAATGTATAGGCTAAATAGGATTTGTATTCGTACTTGCTGCCGAAATCACCCAGTAAAAACGCACCCAAAACTGCGTTGTTAATTTTGTCTACCTAAGCAGTGAAATGGCTTTTTATCAATTCAGATAACTTTATGACTAATGGGACACTTTAGGGCACCTTCGTCAACTTCGAACTTGTGCGCATGCGGGAGAAACTCTACCCAATTGATCAGGTTTCTGTGAAGGACGCTGCCACGGTAACCTGCTTCGCTTGGGAGCCCACGGGTAATCGTTTTGCCTACATCGCCACCGACAGTTCTGGAAAGATCACTATTCCGCTCTATGAGCTTACAAAGTCTGGCAAGGTCGGAGAAGTATCCATCTTCGACAGGGGCAACTCACGTATTAATGAGCTGCGCTGGTCACCCAAAGGTGGCACCTTTGTCATTGCCAGCCTTCGAACGTAAGTCGTATTGTCGTCTCCAATTCGGTAACGATTTCACGATTCCACCAGGTTATTCATTACCGCAAGCTCACTATTCTTCGTTCATTGTGCTTCTTTAATTTCACCACCTATTGTGTCGACTGTTTAGAGGGTGGAATTGTTTGATCGGAGTAGCTGTCCATAGGCGTTTTTAAACTTCAGGCAGTGCGGTGGGCCAATGTCGTTATCTGGCCCCCTCCACACTTCTTTGTACCCTTTGAGTTTTGCTAGCAATCACCTATTATATTCCAAATACCATACTCTGTGCTTATGCTTACATTCTGGCTTAGTGTCATCCTTCACGAAAAATGACTATTTGCGTAGAATTGGTTTTTCGGACCCTGAACGTGGTAGCTACTCCTCTAAAAGGCCCAGGACCAATCTAGTAGCGAATTATGCAAGTTATACTTTACGATTTGTACATTATTAACGGGCTTTTCGAGGGCCAACCACTGTGTTCTGTAACCGTTTGAACTGGAGATGAATTCGCGCGTTGTAAATCCCTAACAGAAGCCATGTGTTCTTCCCCGTGAATTGTTTCCCGTCATTTTCCTCAAACGTCGCTTTTTTGAGTCGTTTCACTATACTGACAAGATTGGAATTGTGGGCTGTGCTATGCTATGCTTTTTATCCGTGCAATTGCGCTTGTTTTTATCCTGGTAACCTAACTCTGAGCACAGGAGATGTTCTTATGATTGTCGTTTATACATTTCATAACAAAGTGCCTAAATTTGTAATGTTTCTTTCCTCATACTTAGTCTTGAAAATGCGTTTTCAAGCAAAGTCACTACACCATTTCGCTATCAAACGTCGCTTCAACTAATAAAGCTAACAAATTGGTGTCGAATTACTTTAATGATAGCGTCTGTTAACCTATTTAAGCATATGCCTGCTAGGTTCCTGTTGTGGCTAAGACGATTCGATTTTTATCAATATAATCCAAGTTACTTCTTTCATGCTAGCGACATAGGTAGAAAATTAAATAAAGAAGCTCATTGTAGGGAAGGTTTCCAACGAATTTGGTTTGTATTTTTTACAAATGGCCCATCACTTATTTCACAGTCTATTTCTGCTTCTTCCGTTCTCTGTTCATAAGAAATTGGTTGATTACACCACTGAGTTTCACACAATGCTGCATATCCCTCTCTCCAAGGGTCGAGTCTGAAGTAAGTTGGTAATAATCCAAGCTATTGATCTGCAAATCTAGTTATTCAAGATAGGAATTTGATCGGAAAAATGAAGGTACCACGTGTGTATATTGTGCTCATTTCGCGTACAGAGCCGACGCCACCATCGAGTTTATCGACGCTAACGACTGTCAATCGGTCGCGAAGGTAGACCACGCTATGGCGAGCGAACTGCACTGGGACGGGACGGGCCGTTACCTGGCTTCTGTGGTGAGCTGGTTTAAGCACAAGTCGGACAACGCTGTCTGGTTCTGGAATTCTGTCGGACGTCCCCTTTACCACAAACAAGTTACCGGCCTCCACATTTTCGCATGGCGACCTTTCCCACCCTCCCTCCTCACGCCTGAGCAAATTCAAGTAAGTGATTAACATTGTTCTCATATGGCTCTAAATCTGTCGCTTTACTTTAACATTCCAGTGACGGCTCGGGATCGTACCTTATCGTTTGCATTGTCAGAATACGTAGTAGTGTTTTTCCAGACCACAAATCCATGATGTCTTGTGAAGTTTAACGTTTATGTTATCATAAGGTTCCTGAATAACCGTGCCCGATGGCATCAACTCTGTTTTTTCGCGTTTCCGAAAGTTTATTTGTCACTATTTTGCCTATTTCTACAAGATTTTATGCTGAGAAACAACGCCTGTGTGCGTCCATGGTTTTTTATGCTGTCACGAATTTTGATTCACTGAATCAAATGTAATTTTCTTTGAGGCGTTGATGAGGCTGACGAATAATTCTTTTGTAGTCAATTAAGAAGACCTTGGCCAGTAAGTACTCGGCGCAGTTTGATGCTGAGGACAAGATGCTTGCTTCCAAGGCTAGTCGGGAGGTGATCGAGCGCCGTCAAGTGCTTGCCTCCGAGTTCAATGTCTGGCGGACAAGTCTCCTGTCTCGGTACTCCGCTGATAAGGCTAAACGCGACAAACTCCGGGGTGTGTTGCTATATTGATTGATAAAACTGACACCACCTTGCTTCATTCACCTCCAGTCATGTGGCGAACGCTCGTTGTCTGTTTCACGTTCGTAAATTGTGCATCCGAAATGTCTAGGTTTGGTTACACACGCCACTAACACCGTCGATCACGAGGTATTTGGACTTCACTCCAAATTTAAGCTCGGAATGGGCGGTGCTCGCTGGTGCGATTTCGATGACTGGGGTACAGTTGACGTAAACACCAAGCCTCTAAATTTAACGATACTTAGCAGAAATATAACCGTATTGACCCACAATTATTTCCTCTGCAATCACTTTAATTGTTGCTGGATCACAAGTCCTCACTTACTATGCTTGCATATACAATTTGTTGTTTCACTTCATGCGTTACCAAAGCCACTACTAATATTTTATCCTTGTAGGAGTCGATACTGACAAGGAGGTGGGCGAAGAGACAGAGGAAGAACTCGAGTTCCTCGTCAAAACATCTAGAGAAGTGGTCAGGCGCGAATCGTAGTCATCCCCTGGTGGTCTCCTTTCCTTCGCTCCGCTTGTACCTCCAACCCCCAATAATGCTCAGTGCTGTTCCTGTCCTAACTTTGTTGTTTATGCGGATCAACTACTCTGATGTAATCGGGCATTTTACTTGTAACAGCTTGTGCATTTGTCCAATATTGGTATAGGAAAATCACACCTAGACTGTTTCGTCTACTTGCGCGTGGCATTCAGTGCTTATCGGGCCCCCATGACGCTCCGCGCTAAGGAACCAGGTTGGGAATGCACGGAGGGGAGCAGTTGCCAGATTACACAGGGGCTCTGTGCATAGTTTATAGCAGGTCCATTAAGTCGTTTTAAATTGTGAGACCTGGTCGATGGTCATGAGGCGTACGAGTCTAGGAAGGCCGAGAGAACCAAAACAAGCTTGGTGGGAGCGTAGGTACGACAGTTCTGATTAACTTCTTTGAAGGCGATAGCATGAGTTCGTATTCGGGGAAATACATCATAACGGAATGCGTCCGAGTGTGCTAGCGTGCGCGTACGCGGACCGCAATCCGAGAACTAAACAATTGTGGATATTATGCAAGCGGTTATCCAGCTGGTGAATGAGATGAGATTGATGACATTTTGTCCAAAGTGACTTTAACCAGCATTCCCCGTTAGGTGAAATTGGGGTATCATTTCGTACCAGAGAATTCGAGTTGAAATTCACCGAAATTTAATTTTCAGAGGAAAAAAAAGAGCAAAGCTGATTTACTCAAAACACAAAACCTTCAGTCTAAAAACACAGCAAAATTGTTCAACTATGTGTAATACTACCTATTTTCCTCGTATTCCTGTCTGGGTAGTTTTTTCGTTCTGAAGTCGGCATCATCCAGAACAAATTGAACTACCTTCTCCCAAGGTAGTGACTTATCTTCGGACAAAAAGTCAGAATAAGTAAATTCTAGATCACATTTGGGGTTAAAGAGATTGGCGAATAGTCGTTCAGAGAACTGTGGAGCCACTTCTGCCGGAGTAAATTCCTTCCCCGCAATCGACTGGAGCGAGGTCATCTTGCACTCAGGAAGACCGCAGGGGACAATATTGTCAAACCACTTTAACGGCTCATTTGTGCAATTTAACCCAACACCATGATAAATTACATCACCCGCACGACGAATACCTGGGCATATGAAAACCATTAAATATTTTAAAAGGATGGTCAATAAAGCACAACAAAAAACTCGGCTTGTGGAAGTGTGCCAGCTCGACTTCAGATTAGATATTTTGAGGACATCGAGACATGATTAAGTATGCACTATTCTTTGTCAAGTCAACTTCAAAAGAAGATAACAGAATTACGTGTACAGTATCATTGAATAATTAGGGAAAAACAAGAAAAATGCGTAAAGAATTTTGCAAAGCCAAAGGAAAGAAAGATTGCTCTTGGAATTTAATGAGACACAACACATGGTTACTTTACACTCACAGAGTGCATAAGTTTGCTTACCAATGGACAAAATTTTATTGTGCTTATTAAACCAAACTCCGGTAGCACCAACAGATTCAGGAAACAGAATACTCCCTTTTACAATTCGATCACCAAGGATTCCTCTACAAAGGTCGAAGCCTGACTGTTCAAGGGCACTAACGAACCATCGTATTCCTTTGCCCAATACTTCAGCTCCTCGAAGACTTATAATTGGGTAAACTGTAAGTTGACCAGGTCCATGATATGTAATTAGGCCCCCACGGTTAGTTCTAAACAAAAACGTGAAATATGTTACCGTCTCTATTCACTGCTTATAAGGAATACAGGGCTAAATGACTAACTTAACGAACTGGGCTCCAGTCTTTTGGAGTTTTTCCTGGTCATGTGCATATAAACTCGTACGAACGCCCACAGTATATACCGGGTCATGTTCCAACATTAGTATTGTATGTGCAGGACATTTATTTTCTCGACGTCGATTAATGTGAACTAGACTCTCTTGTAGTTGCAGTGCGCGACTATAACCAACGCGACCGAGATACCAACACCGGACAACCACTGACATAATCGGGATTTCCAAAAAGTTGACACTAATTCAAATCAGGCACTTGACGTTTATTTGCTTAAAAAATTCCAAGGTATTATTGCAGCATTTGGAGCCAATCAAACCTTTGCCTTCAGAATGGCCTTATTACTGATTGGTCCTTTTTAAGGCTAGGGGGAATTGCATTGCACACTTAACCCAAGTAATAATATAACCTGTAATTATTGTATATATGTAGGTTGTTGAATGTGCACTATCCACTTATCGTAAATGTTATTAGATACCTAAAAATAATTGGCATTTCAGGTTATGTAGGTTTGAAGTCAAGTAAGGGAACAAGTTGACACAAAAATGCCCTTCTTATTTGTTTTTCACACGACAGACATTTCCAATAGCATGTTACTGTTTATTCTGGTATATCGAAACACATACACCACCTGATTAATACAGTTAATGAATCGGAAGAATGTGGACTCTGATACTATTGGCACATTTTGTAGTTTTTTTGTGGTACGTTTTAACGTAGCACATGATTTTCATTCGTTAGCAATATAGGACACCTTAACATGCTTAAAATCGCTCCCCGTATTTGCCCAAATTATTTAGATTTTTTTCGCAGCCGCACATCAATGATAATCTTTTACTCATTTGACATTTCGTGGTTATTTATGAACCTTATCATAGATTTCAGTAATCCATGTTTTGTTCAGTCTAACTGTTGTGGTGTACGTAGCAGTAGAATATCAATTGATTTTTGAAAGTCAGTAAGCCACTCGGTCGGCCAGCAATTCGTTTCAACCTTTTTCAACTGGCTGTGCAAATTCATCCTTTAAAAATTCATGTAGTAAAAATGCTTGTTTCGATAACTTGCATTTCTTAGATTTCCTCGTAAACGATATTTTATTTAGAGAAATGCTTAACAAATTTAGTCAATTAGTTATCGCTACTACGGACGTACTCTTAAACCATCAGTGGTAATTATCTTTATCTCAATTATATTGTCCTGATCAATGATCTGTGAATTCCGATTTAAAATAATTGAATTGTAGTACTGATGTACTCTGACAAATATGAACTAACTCAAATTCTGTATGTCTCCGAATTAAATGGCTATTATTTGAAAACTACCAGGCATCCTTCGTCCTGTTTGATGTGAGACCTTTAAAATTATGCTTATTTTTAGATCCCAATTGCAACGTTCCATAAAATATCTTTTTTGGAAATAGCCTTGTACGGGAAATGCGACGGCAACACCCTGTTTCGTTTTTCTAGAGAGTGGTGTTTTATTCTATGTGTCCTCACTCTTGACCATCAGTTTTGGCCACAGGAATTAGCGCATTTTACTTCCACAGAGGGCAAGCTCAGTATGTAGTCGTTGGTAAAGAGGCATTATAACAACGTTAAAATGTAATAACGTTCCTGAGAAGTTAAGGGCATTGTTTGATGTCAGTTCTCTTATTTGTAGTTGGACACAGGGTTCCAACTACCTACTTCTTCTTGGCTATACTTCGAATTTTTGCTTATTTAGGAAACTACACGATATCCGAACCGTGTGAAGTCCTGACAAATCATAAAAATGTAGGCTGTAAAAATCGTTGAAGGTCAAATCTTATTCCTAAAATATGAAATGTTTTTCGCATTTGTAATTGGTTATTGGTGGGAATGTGTACCGCTTATGTATTCTTTACAGTATTTTAAAGACGAGTAGTTAATATTATCTTTGTTAGGGATCCAGTATTCCGCAAGATGGCTCAACGCCGATTTCGTCATTATTTACACTAATTCTCTGACATCTGTGTTAATCCGTTTTTATTCATAAGATTAAGGTCACTCTTGACTTATATAAATGTTCACTTTATGACAGGCCACTCGCCTTTTGGATGCGACGATTAAAGCTCTTCGTACGAGCTCTGGTCTTGTCTTACATTACCGGGAGAAGGTCGGTTCTAGCGTCAGACAAGGGATCTGGTACCGTTTATCTGAGTGAAAGTTTTTGGCCACGGGCTAACCTAACAAATTTGGCGACACAGGTGAGATGGGCGATAAAGGCGTGGAACAATAACTCGAGCGGCTAGTTCCGATGCTGGCAAATCGGCAGTTGTCTCAGGTCGCTTCCACCAGTACGCCGTCAATTGACGCCCTTACCAACAGTATCTTGGAGTTCTCTTATGATCCATGAAGTCTATCGCCCGCAGCTAAGCTTACTAGCCAAATCTAGATCAGCAAATTGCATATCTGGTCGAGAGTTGTCGTCAATTCCAGCAGGCCGCCAGGAACCTTCCCAAGGTTCCTTCAGTCCCTTGGCCATAACCACACAAACCGTGGTCACGCATCTGTATCGACTTTGTGGGACCGATCACCGTAGTCTCATATCTTGTGCCGGTGGACGCCTACTCAAAATGGTCGGAGATCGTCCCAATGACTTACGCCAAAACAACAAGGACATTACAGGCTCTGTCCCAGATTTTCAGCTGCCGTGGGATTCCGGAAACTATGGTCACCGATAATGACTCACAGTTTACATCTCAACAATTCAGGGAATTCTGCCGACAGCATGCAATTTACCACATGCGTTCCCCATCCTACCATCCAGAGTCAAATGGACAGGCAGAAAGGCTCGTCGACACACTGAAGTGGGCCTTGCTCAAATCCCCTAGGGAAGGAACGACGTCCGTTGACAGCCTACAGACTTTCCTGCCAGTGTATCGTACAACACCATACGAGACTCTTCCGAATCGGCAGTCGCCATTCGAGGCACTCATGAGTCGCGAATTGCGGACAACAAACGCCGCCATGGTTCCGTTACAAGCCAACCGCCTGGAGCCTCCAAGTACGAAATCTACCGCGTCATTTGAGATTGAAATAGCCGTGTACTTTCGAGACTATCGACCGAAACAGGACCCAAGGATCGAGGGGACGATTGCAAACTGACGCAGAAAGGTCATGTTCGAAATGACGGTGGGTCACGACACGTGGTCAAAGCATCGCAACCAGCTCCGATGGAGAAAAAGATCTACGATATCGAACCGTCAAACCAACGTCCCGCAGGATGTGCTGTTCGACACTTTCCAGCTGCCAACACCGAAACCAGCGCAAGTGAAACTGGATTGAGATGAATTAGCAACAGACCCATCATCACGCCAAAGACGGAGTAGTCGGAAACGAGAAGTTTTTGCTTACATTCACGCCTGTTAATTGCCAGTACTTTTAATATCTATCGTTCAAGAAATTTGTTTGAATACTTGAGTTTGCATTAATTGATCAGATTTACTTTATTGGTTATTTTTATTTTCGTTGTTGTAATGCAGCTAGATACTAAGCGGAGGGCTTGACTTGGTGAATATTACGCCCACCTGTTAAAGCTGGTGCAAAGGAATCTAATTTGTCTATTGTATGGTAATTTATGATTTCACCTGTGGCTGCGGAACCTAAATTCGCGGTTTTCACGCCCTGTTCTCGACTCACGTGAACGTTTATTGCTTGCCGGATTTATTTCTACTCCCATTTTTGTAATTAAACCACAATCGTGCTATGGTTGCGTATATAACCATGATTAGGTGTGCCAGTTATCCGTTGACACGTGTAAAGGGGAATACGGGGTAATGTAAATTCCCAGTAAATACAAATAAATCGTGAACCCTGACGAATCGACGTTCGACGCATAACCATTGCCTTTTTCCTTTCACAGTTTGGCGTAGATTCATATGGTGGATGCGCTAATGCTTATCGTGATTGCAGGTAGCCTTATCGCCAAGTGGTTGCCAGTAAAACATGAGACTGGTGAAGGCATCGTCACCGGGTGCCTGGGATTAGCGCGGGTGATCATAACGCTACTTGGACAGGACTTTTTACCAAGTGCTGCAGTATTTCCATCGGTTCCTTTGAGGGTTTGGCTAGATCTTTGTCATCGGACCAGGACATCAGCGAAAGCGTTCCCACACCTACCAATCTTTTTTTAATTTGAGAGAACGTTAGCAGCTCATATTTTGCTAAAAGCTTAGAAATCCGGTTACAGTATCCTACTTGCTGAAAGGCGGTCACGGGCCTTGGTAAAAAACACGTTTCCAGAAAAACTGGCCGCAGTCTTACCATTAGGCCATTAGTTTTCGCTCGAAGTGGTGCCACGACCGAATGCTGATGCTTCTGTTTCAAGCAGTCAGCTACTAGAATGTAATCATGCTGCAATTAGCAAAATCAAAGTCCGCGAGGTTCTAGAGAGTCGGACGGGACCTAGAAAGGCTCGTAATGGTGGCAGGGCATCCTAGCCTTTGAAAAGTGTGCGCTGGCAAGGCCCAATCAAGTGTGGTTCAAAACGCGACTTTCCATAAACCGATGAGGCACTGATGCAAATGTCTACCAGGCGTACTGCAGTGTTCGTATTGTGCTTTTGCCTTTTGTGGGTGATTATTTGAGTGCATGTCTGTGCAGGGCTCACGAGGCTAAGGTATTGTCGGTTTTAAAGTCGTTGATTGAGACGCGCTGAAGCGAACAACTTTCAAGTTAGTCCAGAGTCAATAGCGCGTTTTAGAACTAAAACATTTGTAAAAAAAATTAAAGACAACAAAGGCATTAAGACTTTTTTTCCAGAAAGTTGGAAAAATTCTAGTTCCTCAGTTTAATTTTCTAGTGCTTCGCCGTCACCGCTTTCTGTTGTGATTAAGGTTGTTGCCGTGTTGAGACGCTACGCAGGTGTCCAAACCGTAGTGCCTTGATTTTAAGCTGAAAATCGCACTAAAGTGTTTCTAGAAAATGCCCTTTGTACGAAAAATAGCCTGCTACGAGTGGGCACGGAGATATATAGACCAATTCTCAGAATCATCATTGGTGATTCAAAGATGAAGGAAACTACCTTGTGGCTCTACCATGTTTTTGCAACTCTAGAACTGTTAGTCGCTAGTAGTCTACACGCGCAATTACTTGTTGGATATGTTTTGCTGGGAAATATACTCGGTCACGATAATTTGCGGCCACTGTTTTGCTTTAACCTTCTTGAATTAGCAGCTTCTTTATCAAAATGTGTCCTGTAACGTCTCATTTCCCTGTCTTTACCTGTTCGTCGTGATGTTACACGGTGTAGCCATAGCAGAATAGACTCTAATAATGGTCTGTTTGGGTGCTAGGGTCTTTTTGTCAAGTAACGTGGTCTCGATGCCAAATATGAAATGCCTATGCTTTCTCATACGGGTCCGAAGTGCCACAACAAGGCCGCTCGTTTGTGTTTGATTAGTATAGGAGTCCGATCAGGAGTTGTATCAATAATTTTCCATGTTAAATGTTTAGGGTGCCTCTGGGAACTCATTAGGCATTGAAATTCGAATCGGTCTTCAGAGCACCACGTTTCTGGGTTTTTCAAAGAAGTCCCCGAACTTCTTTCATCATGTGTCCATAGATCAAGGTGTTCATGGTTTGTTTTTTATCTTTAAATGAGGTTATTCATTCACTGACATTTGTTGTATTACTTTACAACCACAACTTTCCCACATCGCGGTGTAAAACGTTTGATCAGGAGTTCGTTGGTCTGGCAGTGAGCTAGTAGCAAACGGAACCAAATCGCAGTTGACAGCTCGAAGCAACTATTGGTCTCATTCGAGCTGACCAATCGTGGTTTAGCAATGCTATTTGCATATGTTTATGCCGAGTTGTACACATGTGTACATTAGATCAAATTTATTTTCTCAGAAAATGCGAAGTACTCAGGCTGCTTCAGGCCAAAGGAGAAAATTACCAAGTATGCACTCAGTGGGGGGCCTTAGTAGTTTTATTACTCTCGAGACCTTTAAGCAAACTGTCACTAGCTTAAATAATTTTTTTTGTATTTCGAAGGTATTTGGGTCTTTGGTGGATAATCGCACACATCACGAAGATAGTTTAGCCCGAGTGTTTCTGATTTGCTTTCGTGTTCAACATTATGAAGTGAAAGTCATTAAAAACTTATGCTTTGTAACAGAACCAGTATTTTATACAGGCGTTTGGTGAAGCACTGAGGATGGTGATATCCAAGAAGTGAATGATGACCCTTTATTGCTAAAAAGTATTTGCTAAATGGGATACTTTTTCGTGCCACTAAATCTTTCTCAATAACCACAGAATAGGCCGATTGCTTGTTACAGACATTTGTACTCAACATGTTTCATTGTTTCAGAGCCTCTGCCACGCACCCTAATCCGGACTGTTCCAACTCCGAGTCCGCGCTCCAAAAATATTCCAACGCTGTCACCCAGCAACCTGTTGCAGTCTTCAATCACTCAAGTGTCATTTGCCCGTTATCATGGGAACCCGGAGGGTGATGTCATGGCTAGCGCAGGATTACATTGCACTCCTGTTCCACATCACCGCCAAATTTCTTCCAATCGGGTGAGTTGTCTGTCACATAGGTTTTCATTTAAGCTCTTTTTACCGGCGTTACGTCGTATTTGCGATGCCAACGTTTTCCTTCGGTCTTAGTAATTGCTAATTGTTGATGGCCTTCTGATCTGCCGTGTCTTCCCATGTAATGATAATTGTTTATGCAGTTCACTTAACATCAATTCAGCTCGTCAATGTATGCCAAGAAAACTCATTATAGTTACTGTTCTCTGATCGTAATGTCATACTGTTCATGAAGTGCAGACGCCTGCTTTCTCACAAGGTGCATGACCAATTTATGCGGTAAAATGCCAGATGCCAGTTGTTGTGAAGGTAACAAGATTCTAGGAGACACGTGTGCCCAAAATTTACTTTCCCAGCAATTCACAAGCAAACCATCCTCAAGCTGTGATGGTGTTGTTGGGCTTGTTCACAGCCCTTCAGAACCACCTCCACGGAGTCTTGGCTACGATTAGTGCTGATTTAACTGGTCGCGCTTGGTGAGAACTTCTTATCTATGAAGATTTTATTAATGAGTATAATAAAATTTTCCCCAATTTGCTTTATTATCGTTTTAGAATTTACTGAGTGAAGCTCAATTACGACCAGAAGAAGAACCAAAAGGTGTCAGTACAAGTATGTCGTTTGCCAAAACTTTCTTGTAAATTTGATTTACAGTATGTCTAGAACTTCTCAAAGTCGCGCCAGCAACGTAGGGTAGTTCTCTAATATGATTCCTTTTATTTGAATATATGACTTTGAGCTTGAGTACTGTGCTCCTTTTCCTGCTTCCATGATTCAAAATGCGTCTTCTTATAGCCGCGTGGTTAATGGGCCTATTTTGCAATTATTACAAGGAAGTTTTGATTTTAGCCAGCCATCAAACCGCTGCCCCAGCGCACACTGGGTTTGTGACCATTGTCAAAAAATGTGATTTGTAATTTTGTCTTTCTTTGGTTAGTTTGTTCAATGGATCGGGAAGCAAGTAGGCCCCATTGCGGTGTCGAAGCTGCGAATGTGAGCAAAGGCGATCTTGCACGGCCATACCTCAAGCAGAAGCCGATTAAAAAGAGTGTAAGTTTTTACGTCTCCTATCGTGTTTTTCGACGCACCTAACTACTTCTTCCTCTCATTTTCAGAAACCACAATCAACACGTGACGGTAAACACGAACTGATTAATGTCGGTAGATACAATGTTATACACAGTACATCTTATTCTCCGAAATACTTTCTCACTGATATTTTTCTGTGTTCATTGATAGCTGGGCCAATGGATTCCAGGAAAATGACTCCAATTCGGGAGGGCGGAGGTGTGCGAGAGGATAGGATTAGCCCTCTTCGATCCAACCTCAAAGAGCATCCTCCTGCCAAACAGGTAAACTGTCATGACCAGTTTGCCTTTTAGCTACGCAGCAAAGACCATAACGAAGAATTGTAGCTGAAAGAAACATGGTTTTATTTTCTAGAAATCGCCTCGTACTGTCGCAATAGAAGTTGGAGAAAGCCACGAACCAGGCAAGACCGGTATTTAGCCAAATTATTTTCATCATCTGTCAAATTCTTTCAACTCCCGCCTACATCCCCTGTCCTACGTATCTGCTTTTATCGATGGCAAATTCTTTAGATTCAACTTACGATGGGTCCCATTTTGAAGCCGAAAACAGAGGAGTTAGACGAATCTACGCGCCTCGATCGCGTGTGATGCCCTCGTTCGCAGCCACATGTGTAAGTTGAATTTCCTATTTCGCGTTTCTTTTGACTTGTCGGTTTTTGCTTTCTCATGTGTTAACAGGAGGCTTTGGGTAGATCAGGTTCTGTTCACGAAGGAGACCCCCCGAGGTCAGTGGTGTTTCATGTGCGTAGTGAGTGCTGCATAAATTACTACTGTTCTTTCTTGGTAGCCAAACAAGTTGGACCGTCTGTGATCTTGAATGCCGACGAAATCCCCTCGAGACGTTTCGTTAACTACATTTCTAGTAGTAATGTGTTTACTGGCTAAGTAGTAATTGTTGCACTTTAAAACTTTGCAATGCACTAAAACGTGATACTTCGATGTATTAACTAGGAGTTTCATTATTCAACTCCACTGAATCAATCAACACTGATGGCAAGTCCAACCTGGGGATATCGGTGCGTGTTAGACAGACAAACCATCGTATCACGTTATTGGCAAAACCAATGTCTGAGCTCGTTTGATCGAAAATAGGCCTTTTAATTTGCCTCGCCTCACATTCACCATTCAATGGAAACGCTGTCAGTCATAACCACGCGTGAGAGCATCCCTCATTTCAATGTATTTGCATGCAAATCGGTGCCGGCTGACTTTCAGCCCGTGTGAAGAGGTTTTTTTTGTATTTTGTACCATTTTGGCTACTTGTTACCCGCTCTGCGTTTGCCTTTAGGCACCTGTTTTGTCTGCATCGTTAATTGAAGATCAGGCGAAGGACAATTGTACGTGCAATATAAATTGTTTTGTTACCTGCATTGCGAATAAACAGCCTTTTTACTACTCAGGCAAATTTGTTTCATGAGAGGTTCCAAAGTAATCAGACACATTTTATCAGGTGTCTGGCAATCTGGCCACGTGTAATTAATTAATCACTTCTCTTCCAACTGTCTTTCTTCTTTCTTGATTTGGTGCATTCCACATTTTGCCAGATTTATGGTAGTTAGCATTTGCTTGAGCAGGGGTTAAATCCCATATTTTCAGTGTGGTTAAACAATTCGTGATCTGTGGTCTTTCACCCAAAGTTCGTTGACAGTGATGCTACTTAAGTATTTTGAATTCAGACCGCTTAGATTTCCAGAGAAGTATGCCAGAAGATGCCCAATTTCATATTTCCTAAATGGTTGTTTTCATCCCATGCATTCGCTTCAATACTATCAAAGTCATTTTTTGAGGTATTTGGCCATGGCTAAACATGTGATCGATGCTAACCAATCTTTGGTGAATCCAGGATCAACCCTCTAGAACACTCGCATTGAGTCAAGTCCTTCAGACCACGGTCCACTGCAGCAGCCAGGCCAAAGAACTACGAAGGTGATGATTGGGCAGCTGATTTATCACCACATGGACATGCATCGTGCACAATGTTTTGTCACCTAAAGTACCTAAAGAAATGTTCATGGACCTGTTCACGCATCGTCCCCTATATTTGTCAAAATCCAAACTAATAGGAATCAGCTTGTTGGCCTCAGTTTCATGCCCATTGAATTTGGTTGAAAAACTACTACTGAGATCATTTTTAAATGGGAAAACATTTATTTGTTCGCCGATTTAAACCGAAACGTGGACTTACAGAGTTGTTTGACTTTGATAAGGTAGTGTTTTGAATATTTAGCATTGATGCAATTTTTTTACCTAGTGTTACCAGAAGTAACAAAAAAAGGGAATGTAATGGACAAAGTGAGATGCTTTGAATCCGCCTCAGAAACAGACATGAAACTGACCCATTCGAAGCCAATTGTAAGCAGTTTCGTTTGTGCAGATATTACATTACTTGTACGTGGAAAATATTTGCCGGTTGTTGCAGAAAGGTCTTACGGAATCAGAGACTCGTGATTCTTGCTGAGACGTGTGTGTACTGCTTTAAGCTGGGTTTGTGCGAAATCGGACCCTTGCTAAAGTCAATTTACATTTGCGCGAATTTAGCTACTAAAGTCGAGCAAAGTAAGGCGCTAATCTGGTTTTTTGTTATATTCGTATAACAATTTACAACACGTCAATACATTCTACAAGACATGCATTCGGATGTTTCAGGAAACGAGAGTCGCATTTGAATGCCATTGATCGTTTAAACTCAAATCGAGACTTAAAAAAGAAGTTTTTTGCCAAAACTTTAATGCCGAACAACATTTAGAGCGGCTTTCAAATGTAAAACAGTGAGTGCATATTAAAAGCTGGTTTGGTTTTGCTTGCCTAACGCCTGAGACACCCTACATTGGTAAATTCAGATATCGGGCCCCTAAACAGCGGTGTTCCCGTTTCTTCTTTTCAGAGGATTGTGCGAGTGGGCGAGCGAACTGAGTTGTCGAGAGCCAGTTCATTTGGCGCCTACAGGTCACCTCGTGTGCAGAGCATTCCTCAGAGACTATCTCCCACAGGATGCGTGAGTCTACATCTCTGGACTAACTGGGACCGTAAATACGCAACGTTGGCACCGATTTTGTTAACTTTTGTCAGGCGTTTGAGTGTGACTTAAAGTCATCGGAGGATTTTGTTATCTCTGAGCTGATAATCAGGTGTTTTCAGTCTTAAAACTGGCGCCTAAGCCGCCGTTTTTTTAAGTAGAACATTGACTCCCTAACCCAGACACTTCTTAACGTAGAACGTCAAGTTTAAAACGGAAAAATTTAGCGTCTTTTTCATCAATACATTAAATCATTTATTTGTAATGGGAAAGGTTTTAAATTTTTAGTGAAGCCTCAGTGCTTCTGCCGCGTTTAACGGAGGACCACGTTTTTGATCTGATGGATGGACAGTGTGCTTGTCTTGGTGTGATTCTCGTTCCTGTACTGTGATGAATAGTAATTTGTAGGCAAAGGCTGCAACTCTGTGTTACGTGGATAACGACAGGACATATCAGAGACTGGACCGGCGTGTAAGGGTGGCTTAAAATATCGCCCAGAACGCGATCCCTTGCTCTCAGTTGCCCCCTTCTCTTTGATTTCGAAGCTGGTCCGTGAAGTGTTTCAAGTGGGTGTAATATTTTCTCAAAGGAACACATAGTTAGGAAGGGTTCAGTCTGAGTACGGTGGAGTGGTAATCCTTGTTTCATTCATCACTTAGGCTCATTACTTGGATCATTAAGGCCTTTTAGTTCAGCCGATGTAAGTACGCAAACGGAAATAAAAATCACTGCTTTCTCCAATTTTGTAGGTATTTAGTTTACAGGAAAACGATAAGCTGTCACAGAGCCTGGACTCTCATACGTCTCAAGACTTTGACTTCGGTTCTTGCAAGTCCTGCGATGGTGGCGAAAAAATTATCTCGTCCAAGTCAAGCCTCAATCCATATTTCGAAACCACTGTGCAGGTATTTGTGTTAGCTTAGTTACCCGTCACCATCAAATTGGAAAATTAACGTATGCGGTATTTAAATGTGACCATGCCAGAGGGTAGTAGAGGGCGTTTGGCGTATTCAGTGAATCTGTAGCGATTACTTCTGCCTTGTATTCGTGCAGACACAAGTGAATCATGGCGATGTGTTCGCACTTCAGAAAGATGTCTACGATTCCCCAAATTTTCGCCATAATTGAACCCTTTTCCATCTACTTATGTTGAATTACTGTCTTATTGATTTTCGTTCTGAACTAGTCTTGCTTAAAAACACAGATATTTGACCTTCCAAATAGATTTAGGGTCGAGCCAAAGTTTTAAAAGGCAAATAGTGGCTACAAGAGCTCATTTCTTAGGGGTTGATTGGCGCTGTTTACTTGCTAATCAGGCCGTTTTCTATTATGTAATGCTAGGCTTAAGCGTGGCTTTGCTCAGCTGCAATAAATAAAAGCTCGCCTCGTACTCGTCTATCCACTTGACAGAAGTAATCAAGGCAGATTAATAGATCCGTTTTCTGTACTGTTGAGCAGAACCAGCTATCCACACTTAACGTAGACTCCATGTTCCATTTGTACCCGCAACTTCACAGCAGCTGTTGGAATGCATTAGTCTGTGGTTCCATCGTTTAAATAAGGCATAGTGCTCTTAACAGGTAACTGCAGGACAGAATGAAGAATCTACCGATTTAAAGCAATATCGACCCGCTGGCGGAGTCGCCATTTACACCCAAGGTAAGTTTTATTTGAATTTTCGTGCACATCAGGCTTTCAGTATTCTCCAAAGTTTAAGTCGAAAATGCAACTGCGCTCCGATGAAAATGTTAGATCTAGACTTTGTAAATCAATCTGGCTAAGAAGTTACTTTTATGTTCTTAATCCCCCAGAATCAGGGCTAGTAGGTGGGTCATGTAACTACGCAACGGAGCACCTTGGGTAGTGCTTTTCGTGCAAGTAATTCAACGGCGTTTCAAATGATAAGGGACTAAACTTCCCTCAACATACTCACTTTCCATGGTGTCATTTGGTGTAACTAGGCCATTTCAACATCTACCTGGATGTTGTACTTATCAAGAGCCGCCACCTAACGGTTTAAACTTAATAACGATCCATTATCTTCTTAGTTACCATAGCGAATTGTGGAGAGCATTAAAAAGACATTGACATGTTTTTTCTCCACTGGTAGCACCCAAGTTGCTGCAGGAAATAAAAGAGCGCTCGAAGAAGTTACATAGCTGCCTGTACGGGGATGCGCAGTCCGAACACAGACCTCCAACTCCTCGTTCGGAACAACTTCTCCCAAGAATTGAAAAGAACCTCGACGATGTCCAGAATCTGCCACCCCTTCCAGCCGATTTGAACAAAGACCTTAGCCATGCATTGCCGTGTCTCGGGAGAGTGAGTGGTGATGCCTACTTATGTGAATTTGTTAACTTAGATGAAACTACTCGTATTCTTAGGTTTCTAGGTAGGTTAGGTTTTCACCTTGTGGAACACGCCTACATCTAAGGACGAAAAATGTCTCAACTCAATTTTTTTCAAAATCGCTCTGTTTGACGTGCAATTTTACGCAATTTTATGGATAAGATTATGAACCATTGATGTCGGATTAATGAGTACACTTGGCAGCTTCATGGTCAAGTACTATCCCCTTGGTAAAGGAACTCAACCGTCAAGCCCCAATATATAGTGACAAACAACTAAATTTTGTAGGTTTTGCATCTAAGAGACTTGAGGATATGAATAAACTTTACGGAGCCCAAGACTCGCCCCAAACCGTTTGACTATGCAAACACCCGTACGCAAATGGTGTTTTCATAAAGGCATCCTTTGTTTTCACCGTTTTATTGGAGATGGGTCACAACCAACTAGAGAAATCACCATCTTTTTAACACAGGTGCCTGTTGCCGTAATCCTATAACCGTTTGGCTTGGTAGGAACGACCGAAACGCACAGCACGTCTGCCCGCTCGTTATGCAAAACGCATCACCCAGGTAAGCAACTGATGCAAATTGAGTTCATACTTTTAATGCTACGGAGCTAAACAGGCTCTTCTGCTTTTTAGGTGACTACATCTGCCACTACCAACGATACCCACATTCCCAATTCAGATAACTCAACTGAAGTGTGAATTCATTTGACCGAAGGAAGTAAGAATCTACGCCTCGAAAGGATCTGAACTTTTATCTCATTTAAAAATCACTTTACGACCTAAAATTGTCATATGACCGTTAATATGGCTTTTATATATTACTAGTGACTAGGGTATCTGGTATAAGCCGATGCCTCTTCCCACCAGAGCCTGACTGTGGGTGGCTGTGTGGTAGACCGTCAGGGTAATCTTCGACGCCTTTTCCAAAGTAGCAATCTTTCAACCATAAATAACCAACAGAGGCGTACCATGGTTACGTAAAATGAAGCTCAAGTCTTATTGCTTTCAAAGTCGTGGAGGGCAGGATGCACAAAACCTATTGACTTATTTTAGATGATGAGGTACAGAAATCTCCGTGGAAAAAACAATACGTAGAAATGCATAAGGTACAGAGGAGCACAAACCGTCAGGAAGTAACAGGAGCATTTAGTGGCTCCTTCATGTAGTTGACACATCTGGAGGGGTCGGTAGGAAAGAATTCCTGGGCACGAGTCATCAGTCGTTTGATACCCTGGATGAATTTTCGTTGCGTCTCGTCGTTGAGAACGTGTGCAACGTTTTTGGCGTGAATTTTATCCTGAGCCGTTCGCTGATGGATACCATGGTTGGTGACGCCCAAGGGCCAGGGGGCCTTGCCGATCGCGAGATCCAAGTAGGCGTCATTAGCCTACAGCGGATTGTCAATTGGGAATGAAACTTACCTTTAGGTAATTCCTGTCCATGAGCAAAACAACAACTTTAACAAGAGAGTCTAGGATGTCATCTTGGCATCGCTAAAGAGTGGAGAATACGTGCGACAAATAGAGCCTTACCTTTGTCTTTAATAGTTTAAAAAGTGGCTTTATGTACTCCAACGTTTGATTGTAAGTTGCACTGGCCATTTTGCCGGAGTATGATTGTTTGACTTCTCGTGGACGCAGGTTCAAAAATGTGCCCCATTGTGAAAGAAGGAACTAGAAAAAACGGGAATAAAAACCGGCCAGTGAAATGTGACGATTTCAGTCCAGTTAATTATACGCATGAGTAAATCAGGTACTACGATGCCAGTAACTAAGCAGCATTAATCAATCCAGTTGTGGTAACCTAGTCTATAACATGTGATTTGAACAAGATGTTTGGAACTATTTGGTAGTGGGATATTTCGTCTCCGAAATACTACAGTAGGCAATTTGTGTGCGTATTTAATTACTGAAACTAGTAAACCACTTAGTAGTAGCCATCACGGACCAAATAATTAAGCCACAATGACCACGTTTATTTAAAATTGGCCATAAAACAAATGAGAAGTGATAACTGACCTTTAGGTATCGAAGCACAAGACCAGACACTTCTTCACGAGCAGCGTGGTCATTGGCCTTATTAACGTGATGTTCGGGTGTAGCTCGCGCGAAGCTTGTGGCAGCTGCTGTGGCATCGTCAGTTGCGTTAGGTTCTCGAATCATAACATATGATGACAATGTGACCTTCAAAATTTCCATTTCGTCAGGATGAATATAATCCTTTTTAATAGCGACTTCCAGGTTTGCAACCCCATCTGTTGCAGCAGCAGCGCTTGGATTGTGGCGCACATCACCGAAAACGGCCTCATCTTCATCTTCGTCAACTTTGTCCATTGCAGCGAGCAAATCATTCCTCAGACCTTTTGATTCTGGCTCAAGTAATTGGATGCGTTTTAGCCGCTGAAATGTGTCATAATCCGACTCCCCAAAAAGCCTTATTGGTTGATTTCTTTCACGGAGAAGTTTAATAACCTAGATACGTTACAAAAATAAATCATTCAAGTCCAACAAAACCTCTCGTCTTGGCATTAATTTTCCCTTGGCTTTTTCTTCGCGCTCTTTTTCAAATTTTTTAAGTAATAGGTTTTCTTCAGGAGTCTGAAATTGCACAACTCGAAAAAAGGGATTTACCGACTGAGGAAGATTCGAAGAATTCATATCATCCTCTGTCAAAATAATGTTCGTTTTGTATCGACATTTGCTTTGGTATTCCTGCTGCTCGACTTTTGCAAGTTCTGACCGCTTAAAATACTTTTTCTCCTTAGTCTAAATACGTAAAACGGCTAACAATAACTTACGACCAACTCACATTCCTGGAGAGCTTTGCGCTTCCGGGCTATTTCAGCAGCCAGGGCCTCCATTGATTTCCGAAATCCGCGCGAGGATTCTTGTGCACTATAATAAGTCTAACAATTATTATTTCAATTAAAAAGAGCACTTAAAAACACTTAAAACAAAATCAGTCTGTATCTACAAGAAAATATGATTTTTCGTAAATAACTGATGCGCTTTCTCATGAATTGAAATTGAAATAGATGAGATCATCATCAAATATGAGATGCAGTCTATTTTGATTAAGATTTGCGCTTTTGTATGCATTACATGCACACTTGTTTCAATGGATTTTTGTCTTTGCTTGAATATTAAGAATAAGGCTTTTATGCTAAATTCTGAAAAAAGTTAATTGCCTCCAAGTACAAATGTTTACATTTTTATTCAAGCCGCCAAATAGTGCTCTTAAAGTTAGATTGCAAGTCATTAGTTAACATGCTCCCTGTGCCTAAAATTTTAAGCACGCGTAAAAATACTTGCATCGTAAACATTGGTTTAGGTTTGTAATTAGTAAACCTACTATTATTTTACCTGCGATTGAACTACGACGCATTTATCGAAAGGGATTACGTTAGAGCCACAAATTTATGCAGCTTTTGGCATGAGGTCTCACACGACCGTAGTGCAACTGAGTACAATGTGCTCTTTCGCTATTCAAGGGCACTTGAAATACAGTTGCAAGACAGCAGATGTTCGAGATAACCATTTTTCACATACCTCAAACTGGCTGTGACTTTTGAACCAATGCGCATAAAAAACGTATCTGACTAAGAGGGATTTTCATCAATGCAGCCTGAGTGTACATGTACAAGCATAAGTGACTGAATGGTCAAATAAACGAAATTGTTAGTACGGGAAAGACACACAAACAGGGCTATATCAACGGAATGTTTCACCTAATTGAAAAAGATGCCCTAAAAAGACCTGAGTAGTGCAGAATGTGACAACCGGACGACACATTCTTGAATGGGTCATCACTGCGATTTTTAAGTTAAGATTTCAGTTATTTCATGGTTAACATGTCTATTAGCCAATAATTTGTTTTAGATTGTGAGCGATCGAGCGTAAGTGATGTTTCTTTATGGATTGATTTACGGACTATCCTCATTTCGCCTCGGTTTCTGTTATTTGTCATCAGTGAATTGCGCTTACTTATCCACGCACAGGTACACACAAATGGCGTGATCCTAATAAATATTCACGCATGTTGTCAAGTCTCTTGCCTCTGTTCTCGGTTGTAAGGTGGTAAAAGTTCACAATCAAAAATTTACAGTTAGGTAGAGTTTCTGATATTCTGCAGCAGCTAACTTATAGATGGGCATTTATCTAAAATATGACTTAATGTAGTGCTCCTAGCCAAAATCATCAAAAAATTAATAATTTTAATACATCCGTTTGATATCTTTTACGTCTATACATATACGCGTAACTATATAACATGAATCGACAATTAGCTAGCATTTTCACGCTAAATTATGTTTTGCCAAGGCATAATTTCTTTTGAGCTGACAGTATCTTTGCGTTCAGTGGTTAATAGGCGCAATGAAAAATATTAATACTTCTAACCATGCTCTTTAAAGAAGATGCTAAGCAACTATTAGTGGTTGAGGCAAACAGATGCCTTAACAGTTATCAACCCGAAAGAACCTTAAATCAAATTTAACTTTTCAAATATAGAATGTAATTTTAGGTTTGAGGTGAGGGATTTCGACCCACACCGGGGAAGCAGATTGTTCAGACACTGGCGCCAAGCTTAGAGACACCTATTTCATACATCGGAATAAGAGGACTAAAGTTGATTACGACTCAAGTGATTATTTTATTAGTCGCGATTAGCGTTGCTTAATAGTAAAGGCACTAACTTAGCAATACTGACTTTAAAATTAGTATTTCTGACTTGTAACCACATCGAATCAAAACAAAACGCTCTAGTTTGGATCATTCCTTTCAATTTTCAACCCGTCACCATAGTTTATTCTCTATGCACACAAGAGGTACGCTGAAGTACTTTCACACTATCTGCCATTCTAGTAAATTAAATAATACCATGAACTTAAAAACTTATGTTTTGATAAGGTTATTCTTGTTAAATCCAACTGGAGACGTGAAGTCATTATTGAAAAAGTAGAATTAATGCCTGAGAATGGCATTAGTAATTATATTATAGTCAATGTTAATAGATTAACAATTAAAACCCTAATCAAATGTCCTGCTTGATATAATTGAAATGTTGAGCCCCATTGTGGCACACATCCTAGGACTATGAGTCGATTGTAATGACTGAAATCAGTATTCCTTATTTAAATTTGTAAAATGCTTCCCAATGAGTCCAGTTCAATATTTTTTAAAAGGACGCCACAAGCTTTAATTCGAAAGATTGAAAAGGACAGATTAATTGGTTTGGGTCAACTGTCTTTTGTTCCATTACAGTTAAAATTGCTCTTCTAATTTGTATGTCTTGCAATTAATTCCTCAGTGGTGCTTTGTTCTTGGTATATTTCCCTTTAAATGGCATTTTCGAGGAAGAAATCGATGAATATTCAAGGTGAGTTAACTATTTCGCAACTGCTTGTCTCTTCGCAGCATTTGCAAAATTAATTTTATTTCCAAGAATGCACACCTAAATTTCTAGGATAAGTAAATTGTACATCGCACTCGCACAAATTCAACAATGCTAGTTGAGCTACTGCATCAAAAAAATCAAAGTATTTCCTGAGGAAAAACAACATATTTTCTGCAACGTGAGAAAGTGGGATTGCTAGCAAAGTATGCGGTATCAAGAAAATCGTGTCCCAGCAAAGAAAACTTAATAAATTCCCCGTATTTATAATAGCCTGCTTTTTAACTTAACATAGCTTTAACTCGTTAGTTTAAAAAAATGCGTATGCACTTGTAATGTAACGTTTTGCTGGACAAACGTGATAAACTTGTACGCGGGATACTTTGCTTCTAACAGGAAGTTTGTAACTTAGCTTTGTGAGGTTACTTCTTCTGGTGAATTCAGACCTCCAATTAAATTTCAATGTTGAAAACGGCTTGACTATTTACTCCAAGAGTGTGTAATTTATGCACTTTATTAACCACACTTTCATCTTTCCACTGAACATGACTTAATAACTTAAGCTATTACAATGAACTCTAAATTTACCTTAAGAGCTGCTTATGGCCCCAAATTCTTTGGTCACAGTATTGCCATGTTCCATTGTTGAATAATAAATACTTTGTGAGATGTTTCATTCAGTTTAATAGAAAAATTTACATGTTTATGTTCGTGCAACTCATTAGTTGTTAACGTCTTAACCATGACCACGTATTCAGTTATTTTCGTTAAACTTTCGGGGTTAGACTTCTGTAGTGTATGTTTTAAGTACTGTGATGATTTTTAAGGTGTCACTTAACTATATACATGCAAGGTGTTAACAGTCAATTTGGAGCTTAACACTGCCCCATAAAAGGTATAGCGTAACTTGAATATCTACTTGTTTCAAAAAAGGGAAAATAAAGATTAAGGTGGAAAAATGCCTAGTGAGCACCTGTAAATACTTCTAGTATGAAGTGATTTTGCTTGAATGGCATGAAATTAATGGTTCCAATAACTTAAAGTGCTAAAAGTTTGCTTCTTGGTTGATGACTTTTTAATGCGACATCTACCTTGGGATCCAGATTTCAGTATAAACTTATTCAAAAGGTTACATATTCACTTTATTAAGAATTAGGAGTCAGGTGTCACAGTTTTTAAAAAAATAATCGATGGAAACTACTGTGTCACGCAAGTTCTTTTTGTAGAAATTTCAACATTTATTTGGTGAATATCACAGCTAGTTTACCACTGGTACTGGATACTGGTGTTCGGTTTTGACTTACTGCTCTTGGCACATGCGGCGCCGTGGGCGTCAAGGCCGTCAATTTCCTCCTGAGGTCGCTGTCGCCTGCACTCAAAGCCAAGTGACTTTTGTCCCGTTTGAGGGCCCGCTATTCTTGCATGGGTGGCCCTAAGTTTGATCCACCGGAAAGAAAGGAGCACATACAGGATCAGCACCAATGAAACCTAATTAAGTTGGATCCACGCCTTATTCAAGGTGTCAGGGTGACATCACCACCTGTATTCGAGTGAGAACCACTTGCGTTTCAATCGAGCCGATATACCATGGGGTCATTGAGTAGATATCTGCTAATCGATTACTTTGACGGAATGTGGCTAGCCGAAATTAGAAGCATGAAACGCATAAACATATGCCTAGCCAATTGATGCAGGAAATAAGTCTAGACGCTTTGCAGTGAGAAATGGAACCATTTTTCTCATGCACAAACCATCATTTTTCCGGCCATAAATTAAACAATAGATGCAACTGGGAATTTTGAATTAGCAAGAGAAACGCTAGTTTTTAACTCAGTTTAAAACTGTGCATCTGACAGTCGCTGCGTTTTTTTTGCGCAGATGTCAAATGAAGCTCTAGTTAGTAGTCTGTTTGTGGGGACTAATTTGTCAACAAAAAACAATTTGGCATTATTTTGTAGCAGTTCACTTCATAAATTCAAACTTTACATTAATTAAACGGGCTTTACCAACCAGCTAGTCATAGTTGCTTGGATTATCAGGAAATGGTGTGATGGAAACCTGGGACTAATATTAGGCATTTCTTCCTAGTATTCACATTGGAAAAGGCGACCGTGCTTTTTACAGAACCAGTCACGTTTGTTCAAAGCCAAAGGATTTTGAGATGAAGCTACTACTTAGCAGTCTATTTAAGGTTTTTGTATAATGCAAAATATTGGGAAGTGAATGAAATAGGCAAGACAAATTTCACACCTAAATTGAAGGTTCGAAAAAACAAGATACATCCCTACAATGTCATGCTTACTAAACAGAGAACAGCACTCATTAGATTGGCTGGCATTTATTTTGGTGAAACTGATGAAATTCATGAATGACAGGACATAAATCAAAGTGGAGCCTACTGCAATAATGAATGACATTTTGCAAACGGTAAATTAAAATTTATGCATCTCATTTAACCACTATTAGTCTGCTGCTTTCAAAGTCTATCGGATCGCAGGAATAT